GCTCCTTGAAAGGGCATATAGCAGCTTGGCACGATGTGTTCCCGTTCTCAAATGCTAATGTAAGAATAAGATTATCTGCTGCCCCTTTGTCTGCTACGTTCTTGTGGACAGCATCTTGCAACCTGGCTATAAAATCTATGTAAGGCTCATCATTCCTTTGCTTTACTGCTGTGTAATTCGGCGGCCTGCTTCCTGACGGTATTATTTTTTCCCAGGCCTTTAAGCAAACTTCTCTCACCTGAGTGAATGTCTGCTCATCAAACTGCAGTTGGGACTCAACTGTGATGTAATTCTCATCTCCTAGCAGCTGATGAATCCCTATATCTATACCCTCTTCTGAATTTTTGCGAGCACGTGCAAGAGCTGTTTCGGCCCATAGTAATTGATACTGCAAAGATTCTGAAGATGAGAGGCAAGATTTCGTTAGCACCCTCCAATCTGCTGGGATCCAATGCTCAGAATCTGCCAGAGACTTTATCATACTAATAACAAATGGGGAGTCTGGACCATAGTTAGATACAGCTTGCTTGAGGTCCTTCAGTAGCTTGAAGGGGAAGGCAGTATGTTGCCGTTCTTGAATCCCTTGTGGGTGCTGCTCGTTGGGCTGTCTGTCTATAACTCTCACGGGATAAGCCACTCTAAATTCTAAATCTGCTTCCTGGGCTATGCTCTTCTCTACCTGCGAAAGCAATGGTGTCTTCCTACACCCTGCCCCTTTGCTTTTTGCTTCCCGAGCCTCGCCCTCTACGTTAAATCTCTCCGCTTGTTTTTCTTTGGATCTGACCTCTTCTCCTCCAGCACTGCCTTGCTTGATAGTATTGTGATTCTCCACACTATATTCAGGTGGTTTACATGGCTCAACTCTGCTATCTCCTGATTCAAACTTTGCCTTCTCAGCTACACTTACAATTTTTTCATCTGCCTGAAACATCCTGCTTGCTCCTCACCTGATTTAAATCTGCGTAGTTTAGAAGTTTCTCTCTACTTTGCTGGTTCTGCTTTCTCTACCTTTGAAAGTAAGGGAGTTTCTTGGGATCGTTTAATAGCCTCACTTTGGGTCTTGGAATCAGCTGCCTCTTGTACTTTATCACCTTTAAACCTTCAGAGGCTGCAGTCCCCCAAGGGCATATAGGCTTTGGCCATGAGGTTTCTTTTAGAATCAAAGGCCTTAGAAAATAAATCAATCCCTGCTTTTTCAGTTTCTCCTAAAATTTCATCGTCTAATTCATACTCATTCATATACACTTTAGCTTGCTTTTCTAGATTAGGATAGCTCACACAAGACTTCTCACTAGACTGATAATCCTCACTCTCTTCCTCCTGCAAAAGTCTAAAAACCATCTTAACTTGAACCCACAGACCACGTTTTCATAGGGATACTCTCCCCATCTCTGTGTGCTTTCTTTAAGTTTTCAATCACCTTCTCCCAGGTCTCTAGATCAAAAGTTCCTTCCTCCGGGAACCATGGATTATACCTTTTTACTACTTTTAGAAAACATTGCATCTTTTTCTTCATTACTTTTACACCCTGTTTTTTCAGTAAGTTGATGAGCGTAGTACCATAAGTTTCAGGTTTACTTTTACCTTGCC